GGCACACTCACTCGTTCGAACATGGCCAACCAATCGTCAACGTCGACGCCATCGGTCCCGCAGAATGTAACGGGATCCTTGAGTGGCGTGAAAACGTATGGTTGTGACGCCGTGTTCGTCGGAGACGCTGACGTTGACGGGGAGGGCTCAGCATAGGCCATGGCTGGAAAACCGCTGCGGCGTCCGCTGCGGAGCTCCGTTGCCTGATGGTTACCCAGAACCTCTTACCAATGTGTTACGGGGTCAGTGACTTCTGTGTAAACGCAATTACAGAGGAAACACCTCAGGCGAGAATCACAATGCCTGATTGGCACCCTCGCGCGCCTGTCAGCTGATTCTGTCCTTCATCTTCCCTTACTTCATAACAATATTATTTAGTATTTCCTTTTCGGCAATTTCTAAGTTCTTGAGCGGAGTACGCACTGGTTCATCAGCAAAAGTGACCGCCATATCTACGTAAAGGGGTTTCATCTGAGGTGAAAACAGATGTGAAAAAGGAAATAAATTCTTCGGCACGCGCAGTGTTATTCTGGGCGGCCAGTGATGCTCTTGATCTTGTTGGCGGGTTCACATAGCGTCAAAACTTTGCAGGAGCCTCTTTCAGGAATTGGGTGAGCTTCACATTATAAAATCTGAATTTAGGTTGAGTTACCAAGATTCGGAGTTGTTTGCTTAAGCTTCGAATAGTAGGTTCGTTTTCTTGGCGAAGGATTGGTTGAACGGGCTTTTCTTTTTTGCTTTAGTTTACGCTTTACGTAGATTATTTTTCTCGTGATCGAAGGGTTTCTCTTTTTCGATGATTTTCGAACGGGAATCAATTTTTTCATTCAATGCGTGACCACATTTGAAAAATATGCCCATAAATTCCCGCAGTTTCCCTTGACTGATGGAGTGAGCAAATCAAGTCATAAGAGTTTTCGAGATGTTCCGAAACTCTTCAACCCTTTTCTTAGAAAAATTATAGTTTGTGGTGTTATGGGCATAGTAAATTGTTTACATTCAATGTATTAGTATCAAAATATCTTAACGGGCCCCCAGGCACCTGCACAAATACACCAATACGAATGGTGTAAACAATAATGTCCTTTGAAAAAACAAAATGTGAGCAATTATAACGTTAAACCATTCTTCGTTGCTTTCTTTCGAAATGGTCGTTAGCAGTATATTGAATTGAGTTTATTGCACGACAAGTTTCCGAAGAGGCCAGGCAAAAAAGCTACACTGAGCAGCTTGAGGGGAACCTTGAAAAAATATTGGTGTAAACAGTCTTTGTCATACACACAGCACCAGCTTGTTACGCGAGGCAACAAATGACGCGACAATGACCCATCACGTTATGACCACTCGTGCATGACCATGTAAAAATTAAGATAAACTATTATCGTTACGGCATATAGTTTGGCATTGGTTCTTCGACATTTAAAATTTTCTGTGTGCCACCAAATTGCCTTCTAAATGCCTTCTAAACATTTCCTTCTAAATGTAATTCAAGTAGTCTTGCTGCCAATCACATAAGTAGCGGCTACATATAGCAGCTGGTGTGATGGAATATGAGTTATATAAAATATATTTACTTGCAGCATAACGTTTAGAAGTCCGTGCGCGTATTACATCTCTGCGAGTTCATGCTTGCAAGAGAGAAAGAGAAATAGAGAGAAGTAGGCAGCGCTGCACATGAGTGCTTCTTTGCTGTCGGAGATGTATTTCCAGCTGTAAAGCACAATTCAACTTGATTGAAAGCCAGCTAGCCCGATTTCTAACTAAGCCTCCATGGTGCTAGAATCCGCGGTATTTAACCTCCTCCCTGGTCCGGCGGGTCAAGTAAAAGGTACAGGAAAATCATGAACTGGTTTTAGGGCTGTACCCCTCCTGCGCTTTTCGAACTGAGTGACCCGGCTTAGAAAATGCCGTTGCTACACCACTGAAACGAATGGCGAGGTGCAGCACTTTGTAAAATGAATCATGTGGTGCCGGCGAATCGAACAAACCCTTAGGCACACTAGCGTCCTACCATTTCACCCCCTTCAAAAAACAGCCACTCGTGCTGGGATCAAACCCGTATTGTTAAGCTCAGCAGTGCCACATAATCTAACTAATAGTCTTACAGTTTCAACATTATTTAAATGTAAACTCCATGCCACGGTATACAGCAAATGCTTGTGCCCAATCTAAAGCACCTTTCCATTATATGCGTGGTAAAACGTTCACAAAGACAGCATTACATGTGTTAGGTTCGAGATGACCTCTTGTAGTGGGCATTCAGTTGTTTCAGCGCGCTTGCAGAGTGGACATTCGAGGGTAGTCATGCTGTCGTTGCTTGGCAGCCTGGAAAAACAAGTAATATCACCAGATATCATTGCATGAAATCAAAGAATAATCAATGCGTGGAATTTTTCAAAGTAAACAAATAAACTCCGTTAACTAGTAAAAATCAGTATTTTCTACCTATATTTATTGGCACCCCATAACACGTGTATAACTCAGGGCTGCTTCTTCACAAGGCATGTCATGTAGCAGGTAGCCCATTGCACACAGCTGCTTCCATCTCAGGCGTGCCAACAAGCTGTGACAGAAAAAGATGTATTTCTGATTTATGTGACGCTTCCTTTGTCACACTATAGCAAAACTAGATTCATAATTATGTGATGTTTCTCAATCGCGACTGCAGTAAACTATTACCTCGTAAGTTTTTTGCACTAATATATGGGCTAGCTACGAAGACACATGCGAGGTGACAGTGAGGTATTTGCCTTCTTACATCGCAACGGCCTGGTTGGTGTTATCTGGCGATAGTTTACGAATTGACTATTCTATCAGCGACTCGTTCTCACGTGAAGCCACGCCGCAAGTAACGCACGTTTTACGGTGACAGATTGAGACGTTAAAATTTTGAAATTTGATATTACAATGCGCTGCCACCATGTGACGCCTACACAGTCATTGACAAAAAACTACATATTTTGAAATGAACCAACAAGCCCAGCAAACAACCGTCTTTAAAAAACTGAAGTGGTTTCTACTCACCGGTCCGGGCTTGCAACTGGTGTTCATCCGATAAAAGCTTCAACAGTCGCTTCGTTGCCCCGCCGCGGTGGTCTAGTGGCTAAGGTACTCGGCTGCTGACCCGCAAGTCGCGGGTTCGATTCCCGGCTGCGGCGGCTGCATTTCCGATGGAGGCGGAAATGTTGTAGGCCCGTGTGCTCAGATTTAGGCGCACGTTAAAGAACCCCAGGTGGTCAAAATTTCCGGAGCCCTCCACTACGGCGTCTCTCATAATCATATAGTGGTTTTGGGACGTTAAACGCCACAAATGAATCAATCAACAGTCGCTTCGTTGCCCAGTACTCACTTGAATTTCCTTCGCGAAAGCATTTGAACGAGTCAAAATAAACAGAACGAAAAAGAGTGTGTCGCTTGGCACTGGCTTGAAACAATTACAACGAAACGAAGCAGTGCGAGACACATCCGAACCTACCACGAGCCGTTACCTGCCACCGCAACCGTTGGCCGCCGTATATTTTGAAATTAGGATAATGATGTCGATAGACTGCTGCTGACCTCGAGTCAGCTGGAGCAAAAGCTATTACAAAAAATTATGAAGCAGCAAATGCTCAAGAAAAACTACTTGCTAGAAGAATAAGTTGTGTTTTTATGTGTAGCGGTACGCAAATATGTAGTTTTAGATCATTTTTGGAATTGAAACTTGGCGCCGACGAGGACGCCCCTACAAGAAAGTGCAATAGCGCGAGTGGCAAGAGACGTTAGTAGATCCACTCGCGATGTTTGAAGCAGAAACGCGCCGCGATGGATTTTTTTGCCCTTTACAGCGATCACTTGAAATTCAGAGTTTCCGGGGCCTGATTATTCTACTAGGACCAACATTTAAACCAAGTGGAGTAATTGCTAGAAGGTAACAGTTGAACCCTTGCAGTTGCTCCCGCAGTTAGTCTCATATTGGTTCAAAATATGTGGCAGCGCATTTAGTCCCCTAAAGGAGCAATGGCATATCCCACTTTAATCCTTTTCAGCTTAGGGTGCAGGTGGATGGACGAACGGATGGGTGGACGCGCGCACGTTTGGAGAGAAGCATGGAAGTACGAACACACGAACTAAAAGACGGACGGACGCATGGATGGACGCACGCATGAGTGGACGGACGAACGCACGGACAGACAAAAGTACGAACGAATGCAAGGACGAACGGGCGGGTGGATGGATGGACGGATTCATGGACGAACGCACAGATGAACGCTTCGCCCCAATCATTAATTCTCTCCGTCGATATGCTGCAATTTTTTTCAGGGTTTTGTCAACATGTGGGATATTTGTGTCACTTGGCCGAGCATATCTGACCGACGTTACGGGGCCCCTGCAGCTTGTTCCAGCTGCGCGACGGCCCATTGCTGGAGTTGGTTGTGGCTCTGCGCAGTGGGAAGCAACGCTCTACTGATAAAGTGTGCCTAATTAATTTAAAGGTGTTAATCAAAGAGGCACACTACTTTCGGGTGGGTTTGCCAAGTCAAGATGGCTGAAAATCACTACACAACAAACTTATTTGTTCTAACCACTAGAAAAGTGAATTGAAAGCTCCCAAAACGCCATGGGCAAACGCAATTAAAGATTCTTAAACTGAACACTAAAAGTATCTTAGCATTTTTTCAAACTTTTCACACGTTGTAAGCTGCAAAGTGCCCGTGAAATAAATGAAAAAGGATCTTTCGAGCAAACGTCGTTGTAGGCCGTCTTAGGTTCGGAAACGTGTCATTATAAAACATCAAACATTCAATCCACTTCTTTATGGCGTTCCACCTAATCTGTTTACTAACTTCAGCAGAGCTTTCAGAATATCAACACCAGAATCTCAATGACATCCCTTTCACGACTACCTACTAGCGAATATGTCGACCTCTTCCCATTCTGATTAAAAAAAGCATCAAGCCAATCGGCAGATCTTGCCTTGGAAGCCCGTGATGACTTGACCATTTGTGACGCATACTTACTTTGCCGCAACCCACTGGGCCAATCACTACCAACAGCTCGCCGGGCTTTACAGTGGCAGTAATATTCCGCAGGGTTGGTTCGGAAGACTCCTACAAAAAAGATGTGTCATTTTAGGGTTACACAGAAAGCACATTCGTGAATGTAATGAGGAGACCTTTGTCCAGGATGCTGTAACATTCTGCAACTCCACGCGGCAATTATGAATCTTGGGACGCAGCTTGGAGCCATTCAATGCGCCAGTCTGTTCTTGCTCTTCAAGTAGAAGAAACTTCTGCACCGAAAAGTAACAAATTTTCGCATTAAAAATAGAAGAGATACCAAAAATGTTCAGCAGTTTTAAGTTGGTTTCCTGTGTACAATATATTACAACAGGCGAAAAACTGAGTCACTTCGTGTTTCCTAAGATGTATTTTAGAAAGCCCCGATATCGCTAACTCACTCGTGAGTGGACTCACCCGTGCTTATACTCAGACTCAGATCGTGTCGTGAGTCTCAGTGAGTCCGGGTGAGTAATATTTTGGCGAGTTTGGTGAAGTTTTTGTGAGTACGAGTCTGATGGAGTACAGCTCTGAAACATTTTTGGTCAATCTGAGTCCGAGTGAGTCCAAACTGGAAGATCGATGCTCTTCTACAGTGAGCCTGAGTGAGTTCCACTTTTGTTTGCTGACTTGTAATCCTGGCTATTGGTCTTCAGCATTAAAATGAGCAATGAAAGTCTTACCACTTAAAATCACGTCTTCTCACACGCACTGAAAAGCAATAGCGTTCATACACCATTTCAATATTGATCAAAGGCGTGAATTACATAGGGGGGTGCCTTGAACTACACCCCCACTAGTTCTTTCAGCAAAGTTGTTGATAAATATCTCTTATGTTGTCATCTCTTTTAAACATGTCCTTACTAATTTGCATCCGTTCATAACCTCGTATTGGAAAATTCTAAATCAAAAAGCGCCAAGAAGAGCACCAATACATGAGACAGTAGTGTTAAAGAGCATTGACACTACGGTCGAAAAAGCTAATTTGAGTGAACGTACTCGCGAGTGGCCTCACTCGGACCCAGTAAGACTCAGATTGAGCCGTCAGTCCGAGTGTGAGTGAGTCTGGTTGAGGTGCATTTTCATAAGTTTTAGTATGAGTGAATTCGGTTGAAGAAAATTTTGGTGGGCCTAAGTCTCGGTGAGCCCTAGATGCGAAATATATATCATGCGTGAGTTTGTGAAAAGTCCCTAATTTTCGCCGACCTATGATAACAACACGCAGATCATCACAAAAACAACATGTAGCAGCTAAGTGCTACAATATATTAAACGTTTTCTTGTAAGCTCCGGCTGTGCAAATATAATTATACTGACTTACACTTTCTTACCATTTATCACGAAAGTATTTCATTCCCGGTTCTACCAAAACTTCAATGACGTATTGTGTGTCACGGAGATGACGTTGACAAAATGCCCACGAACGGATAACAAATAAAAAAGAAATGTGTTACGCAACATTTTATTACTCCGTGTATGATGTGGGGATGTTCTAATGTGAACAATGTCATTCGCTCCATGAATTGACAAAATTCGAAACACGTGAAAGGTGTTCCATTATCTGATACCGCCGTACGTGGTATTCCAAACTGAGCAAACATTGTTCTCAGGGCCTCGATGGTACTGCGGGAATGGGAATGTGCTACCGGCACAGCCTCGATTCATTTGTAATATGAGTCAACCACAATCAACACCATCTTGCCATGCAGTGGTCCGGCATAGTCAATATGAAGCCGTGACCACCTTTCGCCCGTCTCTGGCCAGTTTACAGGAGTTTGCGCAGGTGGCATAGGCAGTGCTTGAACGCGGTTGTTACAGTTGGTGGCTACGCGTTGTATGTCTTGGTATAACTCAGGTCACCAAAATATCAATCTTGTTCTGGCCTTCATTGAAGACACTCCCTGATGGGAGCCATGCAGTAGCTCGAGGATCTTCTTGCGGGCGGCAGTATATATCACCACGCGATGACCCTAGTACAGCAGATTGTTTTCAACTGACAGCTCATAGCTCTTTTGATATTATTCTGAGAGTTCGTCATCTCCTTTCACACTCCGTGGCCAACCACTGCGGGTGTATTTGCATACTTGAGAAAGGACGTCGTCAGTCACCGTTAATGCTTGAAATTCTTTCGTTGGCATAGCAGCGATGTCCTACTGATCTAGGGATACAACGACTGGCGTGATGTCCTACAGTTCCGATGCATTCTGTAAGGTTATAGGCTTAGTGTGTCGGCATTGTACAGAAGTCACCCAGGCTTATGCTGCAAACGGTACCTATAGGCGCCTTGCGTGATAGCCCATCTCTGTATCCGATCTGCTGCCATGGTAGGCGTTGACTTTTCCGCCCTCAAGAGACCCAGCAAAAGCTGATGATCAGTCAACAAAGTAAACTTTTTTCCAAGTAGATAGTCACGAAACCGTGTGACACCATAGACCAAAGCCAGTACATCTCACTCAATCTGAGAATAATTCTTCTCGGCCGAGGTCAATGTTCGTGACCAAAACCCGATCGGTCTATACTGCCCATCCACACGGTGAAAAAGAGCAGCTCCTACACAATACGGTGAAGCATCACATTCTAAGAACAGCTGTTTTGATGGGTCAAAATGAGTCAGTACCAGAGCGGCACACAATGCTTCTTTAGCTTTTTCAAAAGCATCCTTTTCTGTGCCCCCCCCCCCTTCACCATCGGGTTGTTTTTACCAAAAGTCGGTACAGTGGGGCCAGAAGGGTCAACAGGTTCGGTAAGAATTTATTGTAAAATGTTAGCATCCCCCAAAATGATCACAGCTCTGTAACGTTCCGAGGGGCGGGAGCATGTTTGACGGCCTCCACGTTCTTTTCTGTTGGGTGTAACCCTGCGGCATCAATTTGGTGACCTGAATAAACCTCCGAGACCTCGTTTATCCGGCACTTGTCGGGAGCGAAATTTAATGCCGTGTTTTCTGAATTGTTCCAAAACTTGTTAAGGCTTTGCGTAGGGCTTGTCTGCAGTCTCCGCAGTCAAAACATCGTTCAAGTACGCTTGCACCCCGGGTATTCCTTCTGGTATGGACTTAATCGTTCTCATGAATATTGTCGGTGCTGAAGCGATTCCAAAGGGCAACTGGTTGTAGCAAGACAACCCTTTATGCATGTTTATGACAGCCAGCTTTGGCGAGTACTCGTCCAATGCAATGGGATAAGCGTCTCGCAGATCCAAAACACTCAATTTTTCTCCATGTCGCAAATTCGAGAAGATGTCATCAATGACTGGCAAAGGGTATGGTTCCATTTCACACACAGGGTATAATGTTACCTCAAAATGTTCACAAATGTGCACAGCCCCGTTTCCCTCAAAGACTGGTACTATTGGTGTTGCCCATTCTGCAAATGGTACCGGAGATATGCCAGATTCTACTAGTCTATCGATCTCAGCAGATACCGTATCCAGCAGCGAAAAAGGGACCTTCTAGCCTTGTAAAACTTTGGGACTGCCGTGTCCTTGATGTAGAGCTTAGCTGGTGGGCCCTTGACTAACCCAAGACCTGTGAATACGTCTGCATATTCGGCCATTATGGCTCCAGTTCCTGCTGCCTTCTGTTGGCTTGCCACGCTGGGAGGCGTAGTGACGTGCAGAACCGGTGTTCTTCCAGCTGCAAGCTTCTCCAATAAGTCTCGTCCACACAGTCTGGGACCTTCAAAATCTAACATGGTAAGGTTACACTCGACCTTTACCGACATATAATTTGCCTTCATTGCCAATGTGCCCAACACAGGTAGTTTTCCCAGGTAACAAGAAAGCTTTAAATGAGTATTCTGCAGCTGGGTCCAATAGGTGCGATGTGTCTCATACGTTTCTTTAGGAAATATGCCGACAGGAGAACCCGTGTCCACGTCCATCTTTATGGTGACACCATTTCATGTGATGAACTTCCTTATACGCGGAACCAGGGGCTCAGTACCAGTGACGGACCAGATTTGCAATGCTTTAGAGTCACTGTCATCACTTCTGTCATCACTTTGGTCTAAATTTCCTGCAGTTAGAGCTAGCGTTTTTCTGGTGCCGCCTGTCCGTGTACACATGCGAGCCAGGTGCCCTTGCCTACCACAACTGCGGCATTGACGGCTCTTTAGAAAACATGTAGTAGCTTTGTGATCATACTTGCGGCAGCATTTGCATTGTAGCGGCGCGTTTCTTTGGTCCTTCTTTATGGTATCAGACGCTCGCCGTTGGCTAACGTTCAAAACCGTCGAAATATCCGTGTGCTTATCTATTTGCTGCGAACCGTCTTCTGCACTTTCCGCAACCAAAGAAAGGGCTTCGGCTTCTTCAAGAGTCAAGTCGCCTCTCGCTAGCAACTGTTCTTGCAAACTTTTCGAGCAAACACCACATACGATTCTGTCTCTCAGCGTTCGGTCTAACATTAACAAAAAATTGCAAATGTGGGCAATTTTTTTTTCGAATTTCAACAATGAACGCTTTCACGGATTCCCCTTCCTCTTGCTTACGGTGAAAAAACTTGAAGCTCTCCGAGATCTAATTAGGCGTCAGGGCATAGAAGTAAATCAGCGTTGCTACCACTTCCCTGTAGCTGAGAGAGTTTGGCAGACATTGCGCCACTCTTCCGCATAGTACTTTTATCGTCTTTAACCCTAACGCAGCGACCAGCAATGCGCTCTTCTTAGCTTCATCAGTAACTTGATTGGCTTCAAAATATGCTTCAACATTTACAAAATAAGAATTTGACTTATTTGTGTCTTGGTTGAACTCCGGCAGTCTGTGTGCCAAGGTCGTCACTGGGTTCCGCGCTGAGTCAGCGTTGCAGAGCTCCTGTCGTATAGTCAGCACTGAAGGGCCAGCGTCGCCGGGCTAGCGTCGGCATAAGAGTTTTCGGTGGGTCGTATAAACTCGTCGCCTCTGTCACGTTGGTGGCAGAGACGCCGCCGGAGACATGAACTAGTCGGTGTCGCCAGACAGAAGACAGCGTTTATTGACCCCTTGAAACATATATCATAAAAGAAAGGAAAAGGGGCGGAGAGGGAGCAAAGAGTGAGAGAAGACGCATGCACGTGCTGTTCTGCATCCACATCGGCAACCGCTGGCGTTGCGATAAAGTACATCAATTCTCCGTCATAGAATCCGTATAGCAGGAAAGCTAAACGTTTGTTTACAGAAGCGGTTGATTATTTATGGTACATTGATATATGAGAGAGTATGCGTTTGAAAGATATATTACAGTTTTAAATTGACG